ATGGGGAAAGTCCTACATGAATCAATCAATCAATAAACTGATTGATTAACGACCTACAATATGACAGGCTATACTTAGTACTTGGCATAGAAAAATTAAAAAAAATAGTTTCCTCCCTAAGGAGCCTACATTGTATTTGAGAGATAGAACATAATCCTTTGCTAAACATACATATAAAAAGTGTGTATGTTTGTATGATATGTGAATAATGTGTAATATATATATAGCGTATAAGTAAAAATGTATAGATATAGATGAGACTGGTAGATACTTATATTTTGCATGAGCATAATACAAAGTAAATTAATAATTGGCAGTTCTAGTAATCAGAAACTGGTGAGCTTAGAAAAGTTCTCACATTTGGTGGCATTTGAATTGAACTTGAACAAAACTAAAGATTTTGAGGGCAGATTTGAACAGAGAAAGTTCATAGGAAGCATGAGCGACAGAAAATACAATGGTCTGAAGTATCAGATGAGATAATATGCCTGAGAAATGACAAGAGGCCAGTTTGACTAGACTAAGGAGTGTGGTAAGGGTGGTAATATGTAGTAAGTTGGGAAAGGAAATACAAGATAGTATTATGATCTAAACAATCCATATACTCTTATGAAATTCAAGCACATTATCTCTTATTGAAAGCCATAATAATTTGAGAAATTTCAACATAAATATAATAATTGATCATGATTTAGCATTGATAGTTAAACTTTAACATTCTCTAATAGGCATTCTCTTTTTATTGACATTAGCTTAAACAATGATAGGACCTAGCCTTAAAATATACATTGTTTGGATGGCAAGGCTGACACTGATGAAAACAACAAAAAGATGTGAATACATATTTAAAGAGACAACTATAATACTAAAAGAGAGAGTCTGACTTAGATGGGTTAAGTATAATATATTTTGCATGACTTTGAAATAGTTCCATCTAGTGGCTCAATCTTCTAATCACAGCCTGAATTTAACCTGCATTTCCAACAGAAAGAGAATGTGTTTTGTCAACAAAGCAAAATGTTGTCTTGATGTGAAAATATACAATATTCAGAAATGTGAAACAAGATGTTGTCATGAGAAAATGGTGGGTTTTTAAACTGTTGATTTTCAGAGCTTGGCATAGTGGATTGAATTGGTCTCTGAATGAAGAAGATAAATAAAGGTCTAAGTCCTACCCATCTCTGGAAAATACTTATTTGGTAACCCTGGGCAAGGCAATTAATCTCTCAGTGTTCTAGACAACTGGTTAAAAATTGTAAAGAAGGTATCAACCTCAATGAGTAGAAATACTTTCTTCACATGATATTGGTTACCAATAAGTTGAATGACCCTTGAAGTGACTTAAGGAATCATTATAAAGCACTGTCATTGTCAATTAAAGTTTATGACCAGAAAAGCAAGTCAACAGCATCTGGTACTGTTTCCTGTACAAATTTGACTCAGTCACATTTCACGAATTTATGAGCCCATGATAGAGCCTGGGAAATGCTTATGAGCAAAATTGATATACTATCATCATTTTCTCTTTTCTGAGAAAGAGATATTCTTTTCAATTCTGATTGGTTAATAAATATTTTAAATATGTGAGTTGTGTTAAATGCCCCTTGGATAAAAAGATCTAGTAATATAAAAGTCATAGCAAGCACCAATATTATCCTTTGCTAATTGATATTAGCATGACAAACTAATATCAGCTCTGATATTACCTCAGAATTCTTTGGCTTTAGGAGAGTAAGGGAAAGACATGAAGTTGTTTATGAACATTAGACATGGATCAAAAATGCTTTCCTGATATTGGCTCTGAAAACAAAACCTCATTGACCTGAATCCCACTATTTTCCTTGGGAAGACTCGTCTAATTGTTTCAAATTTCATCATACATATATCTCCATAATAATCATGGTGGAAGTAAAATGAGCTTATATGGAGCGCTAAGATCACATATGAACAAGTTTTTACTTACTGAATCACCGTAGTGCTGGTAAACCATGGTTTTAATTAAAGTTTCTTTTTAGAGCACTAACTCAAGTACATTGTATTTGAAATAGATAATAGATTTCATAATGTAAGGAACATTCAAAGTCACCTCAGTCAACTCATTACTTGTTTCATGAGAAAACATAGAAAGTTTCTATAAATTGCTTAAGTTCCAACAGGATGTAAATACCTAGATATCCTGGGGCTCGCTAGCTAGATTCCTTTCTGTCTTAAACCTGGTTCCCTCCGGCTGTCATTGCCTGGGCAACAATAAATCACTACCCAAGCACCAGTTAACAGTTATTGTTTGGGCCCAGATGTCTCAGAGTGAATGTGAATAGTAATTATTTCTCTTTTGGCCAGAAACCCTGAAAGTCATCCCCTCCCAGTACGATTTTTTTATTTTGGTGTAAAGTGGCCATCCCTTGGCTTATTTCTTAAACAGCCCTAATTATTTAATGGGTATTGCCTCAGTCCAAGAGAGAACTCAAAAAACCTCCCAAAAAACCTTAGCTTAAAAAGGCCAAGGTCCCCCACTGATTCCTGGTACATCTCCAATTGTCCTGCTGTATATCTGGCTACTGGACCCAGATGTCTCTGGAGAAGAGAATGAGGCTGCTGACTTTGCACAGCCCTCCCTCACTTAACTCCAATTAACTTGCAAGTCATGGCATCATCTTACTGAGTTCACAGTCCTCTTTGAGAATGAAGGACAAACCACACGCCATAGCTAGGACTAAAAACCAGATTATTTGACCCCAGTTCTAGCCAGTAAACATACACATACACACATTTATGTGTGTGTATATACATATATACACATGCATATGCATATGTGTACCGTGACTATTGCGGTTCAGTATATAAAAATTTGCTTACAGATGCACACATACACACACACACACACATGAAGAGAATACACATATACATAGAGATAGATACATACACATATGTGTATATATATGTGTATATATATATATGTTATATATATATATATATATGTATATATATATATATATACATATATATATATAAAAATTTCATTGTATATACCTATGGATAACTTGCTGTCTTTTAATAGCTGCACTTCTAGCTAAAAATATAATTTTGGTTATAGAGGCATCATCACCTGTGATAAATAACATGCAATTGCAAGATGGTGGATCAGACACAGGAAGAGTCAGAAAACACAACAAAACTGGCTCACAGTGAGGCTGTGAGCCTCTAGCCTCATTAGACTTGTACTTTAATAATGAACTATCTAGTGATAATTCTGTGTACTCTCGCAGGATCCTATCCAAAACTGGGGTACAGAAGAAACTTGGTAGGATGTTTAACTAAAGAAATTTTTAAATCATTTTGTTATTGTGGCATATTTTTTTCTGGGGTTATGAAATAAATGAGCACGTTAGAGTGGAAAGAACACCACAGTGTGGGTTTGAATAAAGAATTACCTGTCTTAAATGCGAATAAATAATTGTATGACCTTGGTCCAGTCAATACAGTTATTTTTGTTCAGATATGAAGTGTGGCAATTAAGGTAAAATATCTCTACACTCCTTTCGACCTCTCGAATTGTCTCCACATACAAATGTGTACATACACAATCTGCCTCTCTACTTATGCCTTTGTCTCCCTCTGTCTCTTAACTATGTATATCTGTCGGTTTCTGATTCTCATGTTCAGATATTTTGGTAGCAGCACAATTTATGATAATATCAGAATTATCAGAATATTGCTGGTGGTTTCTACTTCATTCTAACTTCACTGAAGCATATGATTGCAAGATTTTGCCATCGTTAAGTTATGAGGAATAAGTGCAGGTCTTCCTACCTTAAAACATGAAGAGCAACAATACCAATACTTTGGAAAAAGTGATGCTATTGAATTACTTTTATTTCTGTTGATGATAATGTTGTACAAGACTGAAGCGGTATGAATCCAAGGATGTATATTTTAACAACACTCTTAATAATTTGAAGAGAAAAAAATAAAAACAGGAATGAGAAGCAGTGGCTGATTTTGAGTCAATTTTTTAAAATGTTAAAACTTCTTAAAAGCATACTTGGTGATTTGGTTTGTATTTTAGTATCATAAACAAACTTTCTAAATAGCAGATGATGACCTATTGAACAACTTATCTCTTACTCCCCTAAAAGTCATTTCAAGTATTCCTTTTTAAACTTTATACATTGCATTGCTTCATGTAGTTAATTTTTCCTTCTACTATTATATATGTACATTCACATACATATACATATGTGTGTGATTTTTTGTGTATATACTTTACAAATATGGGCATTAATATGTAGTAGAGAAAATAACCTATTTTAACTGCATAAGGAAATGTGTAAAATCTAACAAAAACAGCTAGGATATATCTCTGTCTTTATCCACATCTATATGTATGTCATGTCATATATAAATCTGTATTGATATCTGTATCTGTATCTATGTATACATCTGTCCTAATCCCAAAGTTTTCAACAGAAGTCCTGAAATAACTTATGATCAAATGGAAAATTTCCAAGTCTAATGGAACTGACAAAATATAGAATTTGCATACATTTTAGTAAAGTGTTTGAAGGTGAGGATGGTAGTAAAATGTTTGCAACCAGCCTGTGTTCTTTTCAACAAGGAAATATAAAATGGATCATCTTCAGATAAAAGTTAAGAACAATGTCAACGTTTTCCCTTTGCAATATTTTAAAATGTAGTACTTTTGTGATGCTCTGGAAATATGGTCAGATTCCCTTAACTGCACTGTCCGTCCTGATAATGTTCTTTATTACTTTAAATGCAAAGTATCTCACATTATTAACCTCCATAGATGTTGATCTTATTAAATCTTCTATTTATAAACAGTCATGGTCATCAGGATCCCTTTTTTAAATAGGTAATTCTACATTCTAGAGGTTCAACTGACTATGCTTGATAAATGTTTTCTAGCCACTTGAAAGAAAGTATTATACACAACCCAAAGTAACATTCATTCTTGTTGGAAGTCAAAGAATAACAATGCATTTTTAGATTACATGAAGTTGAACTTTTATTAGAAAAGTTGAATTTCATGTATAATCAAACTATTTTTGAAACCATACATATACATAAACATGATACAAACAGCAACTACAATACAAACACATTTTTATTTTTTTTAACTTTAATAAAGTTTCACTAAGAATATTAATCTGAAAAAAAGCAGTCAGATTAACTTAGTTTACACAGTCCTTTTCCCTCTTCAGATGATGTAATAAAATATCATAAATCCAAAATAAAATAAAGTATGCTTTGGCTCAACCCCACCTATTTCACTAAATGGAAACTGGAATCAATGAGCCCTGGTTACATATTGAATCCCCTTATCATCCGTTGGAAAGTTTTTACAAGTGTTTTGATCTTAATGATATGTAAACATAGTTAGGTTTTCAAATGACAATTTGATTTTATAGGTTTTTAAAGGAAACAAAATGTCCATCTGTCCTTTGTCTTTAGATTCTCTCTTATTCTGTGACTATAAAATAGGAAAAAATATTATTTGAGACTTCCAGATAATTTCATTACACATCATAGTTTATAAATCTAGGTGTAGTTAAAATATTGGATGCCTTTATGCCCGGTAGACTAAATGCACCTAATTCACAAACATGTTATTATAAATATGCATGTAAAACTAGTGGGAAAAAAAAGAACATTTTATATGGGAAAGACCCTGCTTAAGTTTCCTCTTTTTAGCAATTATTAGTTTGTAACGGCACATACAAATTATGCTGCTTGCTGGACGGTAGGCACCTTTTTAATTTCCTGTATTTTTTTTTTATAAAAATATATATATGTTGTGCTCACTGAAAAAAAAAGTATTGAATTGCTATGGTCTGCGTACCTATTTGAATGTCTGAATATGTTTGTATGATCTTATTCACAATTCCTACTTAACTCAATGAGAAATTTAAGTATAGGGAGATGTCAGAATGTTACCAATTGTATGCAGAAATCCCTGTTTATTATCTCCATAATTTCAAAGAAAGAATTATAATCTTCATACCTTTTGCTTGAAAAGATGAAGACTTTTTTAGCCTTTCTCAGACATTAATTATTCTTAATTAGAAACAACTAGCCCTGTGGTATAGCAGGTAGCAGATTCTCAGCAGCACTTTATTGATGAAAAGATCTTAAGTATAGAATTGTTTAGGGACATGCCTAAGGCTACTCCGAAAGTGAATGGCAGAATTCCAAAGAGAACTCAGACTTCCCAGTTTTGGATTCAGTGCACCTTGGTCCTTTCCCTTCCACTGAAATGCACAAGAATGTGATTGAATATAGAACTTCAGTGGGTAGCTCACTCAAAACATACAGTGGTATATATAATGTAGAAAACAGGATCTTAACAAGTGATTTGGGGAAACTCAGTAAAGTACTACATTAGTTGACAATTCAGCTACCTTTAAAAGAAAGAAGCTTTTGGTGATTTCCAACAGCATGCTTTAAGATATAAATATTTTAGACACTTTCTACCATAATTTACAGACTGTTAAATTAGGGATTGCAAAAAGTTAATAAAATACAGAAAGGAAATTCACTAGAGAACAAAGTGCTAGATTTAAGCTAGGGCCTTAGCATTTAGGTTAATTTGACACTTAATGGGCATATTTCTCAAATACTATTACCCTTTTTAAACTTTCATTGCACTTAAATGACACTATATATATTTTGGATCCTGAGGCATAAGAAAGAAAACATAGTGAACAATTTGCTCATAAGGTTTAATAGAAAAGCAATCCTGGTTTGTAAACTACATGACAAATACCATTTAACAATTTGTATTCTATACGTGTTTATGTGCCATAATTTATAGTAAACTCTTTTAGATAATCCAAAGTTGAGTGGTTCATTGCTAATCCATTATAGCCCACCAAAATGATTTATGTGAGAAAGAGAAGACATTATAGCCAAGATCACTGGTTCGTACCATTTTAGACACATCCAATTGGTTACTGTTCCAAGAGAAGACTGTTGAGCACTACCACACACAAATCTCAAACCCTGTTTTATCCCATGGAACTACGTGAAAATGTAGGGACATCATACACTCTCCCCTTTCTGTACTTGAGAATACAGAACATTTAGAAAAAGTGATCAGAACATCCTCCTTTTTTGACTTTTATTCCCCACCACACAAACTGACCATTTATTGAGTGGGGTCAAGATGACTCTAGACCCTCATACAGGTAGGAAGAATACCAAGTAGTTGCCTTTTTCCTTAAGGCATGAGGGTAGAAGGGGAGATGGATGAAGTCAGAATTAGCTTGATTTCTAATAACTCCACCAAAATGAGAAGTCTTACTGGCACCACTTAAAGGAGGCATCACCTTTCATGGGACTTTTTAAAAAATACCCTTTGGCCAATACCCCCAAGGAGAGAAATTTATAGGAGAATCAGGAGCAAATCACAAAGTATAGTCTCAAGTATTATTAAAGCCAGTTCTGTGTTATTTTTCCTAAATAGAATAGAGGATATTTGTAATTTTGCAAGGTTTTTGTAATGGACACCTAAAGGTAATTTACAAATGGACATTCTTGGATATATACATTCTAATGTTCCAACAAAGCCTGAAAAAGCACACTTCATTTACTTTAGTAAGTACCTGCTACTATAGCAAACACTTCCATATTATCAATTTAATGTTTTGCCTATACCTTTTATATAATAGTGATAGTTTAAAAAAAAGAAACAAGAAAACTTCCAGTTCCATTGCCATATTGTCTATTCAACAAACCAATTATTTGTCCATGAAAGAGGAAGGAGTATTTCAATCAAAGTTCAAATTTTCTGAACATTCATTAACAGATTTAGGTTGAAGCATATGTAACGGAGTCATTATTTCAGCTGACTGAGATTCATATGGATTGCTTAATGCCAATTTAAAAATAAGTTAATTTGAAAATAAAATTAATAGGTCAAATGCCAATTCATACATTTAAAGAAATCACTATGTTTTCTCAAAAAGAAGTGATATGGAGACAATTCTAATTCTAATGATGCTCAATGTAAGATGCAGAGAAACACATACACAGGAATTTCTATAGTAAACAGGTGGTGTTTTAACAACCAACAAAAGCATATTTTGAAAAATATGCAAAAATTCACTTAATTTTCACAAGTTATTTTATTTTGAAAAAAAATCTTACGCAGTTTCTTCTGATTTGAAAGTTTGCTTTATTGATTTCTGAATAGTGAAATTCTGGTATGGTGTAAAACAGTAGCTCTTACTCTGTACTGTAGCTGTATAAATTCTTATGTTAATGTGCCTCACTTCAAAATAAAAGCTAAAACCACATCTATATTTTGTATTGTGTAAATATCACCAGAATGTGTCCACTCCATTCATAAAATATATGCTAGCATATCATTATAATTACACCTTACAGGTAAAAGGAGTCAGTTTAGAAATGAAGTCTTTGAATGAGTTTTAGCAGAAACCAGGTTACCATTCCCAAGCAAGGGAACATTAGGCCTGCTCACTCCTAAGTCCATGTCCAGTGGTGCCTTATAGGTATTTTAGTCCAAGGGAAAGAAGCCCAGATATCCAGAGACTCCATAGTAAGGAGAAACCAGAAATCAAACTGGATTTGACTAGCCACAATTTAATGACTTAAATATCATTGTCTCCAATAACCAGTGTTGGACAAATAAATACTTGTCAATTTATGGGTCATGCAGAATATCTTAAACAGAACAATTTTAAATAATAAACATGGACTTGGTTTCTTCAGTGTTTTTATTTTTGTTGTTGTTTTTAAATAACCTGTGTTTCTTTCATTTTTCAACAGCTAGGAAAAAATAAAGTCAAGCCATGCAATCCTATGAAACTGAATGAATGGGTGTGTATAGAATGTGTATAAAATTCTACAAGTCAAGAGAAGTTATGAGAACACATGGGACAGCCCAGAACAGGAACGTGAAGGGAACACTGATTACTCATTATTTGAGTCCAACTAAGTTTAATCTAATCATTATGGTTATGTTCATTCTTCTTTGAATTCAACCCATGACAACACAGGCCAGAAGAATTTTCTCTTGTCTGTCAATGGCAGTGACTTGTTCTTGGCTTACTTGCTGGATGTTTGATCCTGGTTAAACCCAGTTCTGTCCCGTAGACAAGAATTTGCTTACTCATACAGATCAATATGGAAAAAATGAGGTGAGTGTCTCATGCGGTTTATGTACACAAAGTTTATGCACGAAGTGGGAAAGTTGCCATTGAACTTCCAGTACTCTCCACTGATCCTTTCTCCTTAGACCCGGTGTAAGCTCCAATAAATGATCCATCTTCATTAAATAGGCCGTGATCTCCTTCTCCATAGTCCACCAAGCTATCGGCACTTTCTGTGGCTTGGAGGTTTCTGTTTAGAGACTGGAGGCTTCCTTTAAGTGGTTTTTCATCACTGTCACTAGAAGATAAAAGAAAAATTTCTAACAAAACCTAGAATTATGGGTTTGAAGGATCACAGGCTGCACACACAGCCAAATCAGAGACTGATAGCGAAAAGGAAGTTTGGAGGCCAATCACATCTAACTTCTTTATTTTACAGATGATTTAATGACGGTTCAGAAAAAATAAGTGACTACCAATTTGACATAGAGACTAAATGCTAGAGGTGGGAGTTGAACCCAGGTGTTCAGACTCCAAAGTGATTTCTCTTTCTACTGGATATTCAAAGGAATTAAAACTGAATACAATAACTCTAATCTATTGATGGATCATATAATTTAAAATAAGAGAGTTGGCAAAAGTCATGGGTTATCTTCAAAAAAATAGATTATGTCACTTGACATAATCTCAAATGAAATCTAATTGAAAAGAAGCTTACAAATGTCAAAATTTTACATTTATATCAAATTACCAATAGTCTACATATTTGGGGGATGACATCTATCCACTCTTTTCCAGTAAAAAAAACCCAAAAGTGTTTGTGGGAAAGCTGAGGCTTATAAATATTTTAAAAAAAGAATTCTGAAGCACTTATTATTTGCCAGGTTTTATGCTAAGCATATCTATACGTGAATGGTGACAGAAGCTGTGATTTTTTTTTTACATAGGCAACTCTCAGATTACATCATTTCTTTTACAAATGAAGGTTAGCACCTTTCTATTGATAGAGATTTAGACAATATCCTAGAGCATTAACATGCTAAGTGACTTATCCAGGATATTATGGTCACTATCTGTTGAGAAAAGGATTTCAACTCAGATCTTCCCGGTTTCTTATTCATTGTGATATAGTGACTCTTCATTTAGTTATATTTATCTAGACACTTTCTGGATTGATATGAACATATGAAGAGGTACATACATATGTATGCAATTAATTTTAAGCTTTGTGATAAAATCAACTGAATCCTATTGAGAATATTTCATAGTATTTAACATTTATTAATATAAAATTTAATAAATACTTTTTTAAATAACAACAAATTATATAGCACTTTGCTTTGGAAAAAATGTTTCATAACAACTCTTTGAAGTAGATATGGTGTTAAGTGTTATTCTAAATAGAGACAGTGTAGAGAGTGCACAGAGTGATTGATTTGAAGTCTGAGGACTTCAGATATCATATGATCATTTCAACAGATGCTGAAAAAGCTTTTGACAAAATACAGCTCTGAGTCCTATTAAAACTACTAAAGAGCATAGGAATAAAATGTTGCTTAAAATTATAAGCAATATATATCTAAAACCCTCAGCAAGTATTATCTGAAATGGGAATAAGCTAGAAGCCTTCCCAATAAGATTGAGGTGAAGCAAGGATGCCCATTATCACCACTGTTACTCAACATAGTACTAGAAATGTTAGCTTTAGCAATTACAGAAGAAAAAGAAATCAGAAGGATTAGAATAGGGAATGAGGAAAAACTATCACTCTTTGCTGATGATATGATGGTATACTTAGAGAGAATCAATTAAAAAACTACTTGAAATAATTAACAACTTCAGCAAATTTGCAGAATGTAAAATAAACCCACATAAATCATTAACATTTCTTTATATGACCAACAAAGCCCAGCAGCAAGAGATAAAAAAAGAAGCTCCATTTAAAATAACCATAAACAATATGAAGTCTGAGGACCCAGACTGAAATCCCAGCTCTGTCACTTTCTGCCAGTGGGACTAATTCTAGCCTCCATTTCTTAATCTGTAAAATGAAGGTAATGGACTATATGAGTTTTGAGCTTGCAATCACCTCTAAACCTATAGTTCTGCACAACATTTTACCCATGAGGGAATAGGATCAGAGAGTAGTCACTCGAATAGGGTCACAAAGCTACTGTCGTAACTTGGTATTTTGAATCACAAACCAGTGATCTTTATATGTCACTAGCTCTCCTGGCCTACTTCCCACCATTTTTAAAAAATTTATTTAATTCATAGTTTAAATTCTTGGTGATATTTGTTTAGGGAAAGTATATTAATCTGAAGTATATTGAATTATCTGAATTTTAAAAATACATATCAATCTTCTGCTTACTTCAATATCCTTATGCAAATAAAAAAACCCTATTTTCCTTCTTTCTGCATTTTAAAATATATAGAAATACCACCACTCAAAGAGAAAATGCAATTTTTTTTAAAACTAAAAACACACTGAAAATGAAAAAAAAGTGCACCAAATAGATGGATGCATGGCACTTATTCATCAACAACGTCTATATCACTCGTCAAGATATTTTGCCTATTGATTTTAATTTGAATATGATAATATAGTCCAGTACAATTTTATATCCCAATGAACAACTGCCTTATTTCTTGACCAGATTCACATTTGATCTTTTTTTTGTTTTGTTTTCTTGTGAAATTATGTATTATGATTACCTGTACTCGCCAAAGGTTTCGTCTTTTCCTGACTGAACTTCTGGGTCTGGATGTAAATCTTCTTTCTCTTTCACTGTAGGAAAAACAAGATCTGAATCATTTTTTTTTTTTTGGAAAAAAGCATGACTTCTGCTATTTACATATGGAAAAGGGCTGGTTAGTTATTTGTTGGCAGTAGCATTAATCATGTTTTATTATAGTAGAGCAGACAAATTGTCTAAGAAATTTTGTCTGTGTCTATGTAATAAACTCTCAAATCCACCATTAAAAACACACAGATAAGAAAGGAAAAATAGAGTTTTAGTCTTATGTTCACCTATATGGCCCTAGAATAATCGAAGCATTTGGATAGCCTTCCTGGGACTGCTATCCATTTTGGTGGGGGGGGGGAGAGGAGATACAAGAATGGTGGAAGGCAGAAATAGTCCAGAATATTTGGGGCTCTTCTCAATTATTAAAACATGTATATTCTTCGTTTAAAAGGTATTAAGTGGAAATGTAACATTTGCATTGGAGAGGTGGCATGAAATAATGAAAGTAGATTAAAGAAACAAAATAATGGAATTTCAGTCTTATAGATGCTAAACAGCAGAAAAGTTTTCAGAGTTAGTCTGACTAACTTCAGGTTTCTTCACCTCCCTACCGATTTTACAAATGAGCCTTCTGAGGCCCTGAAAAGCAATCTCACTCACCCAAGGTTACACATGTCAGGGTCCAACAATCAGTGACTGAGAAAATCATTAAGTAGTTTGAATAATATGTTTCTCATTAGTGAAACAAGGTTAAATTACTTAATACTACCTGCCATGCAATGAACTTACGAGGAGCAAAAGGGATAAAGAATGTTAAGGGTTTTGTGAAGTATGTAGAGTGGTTCATAAATATAAATTACATTCAAAAGCTTAATTCAGATCAGCTCTGGTAAATAAGATGAGATTGACTCCATTATTTGGCTCAGTCATTCACTCTACTGGATCTTATTTTCCTCAGAAGTAAAATCTCAACGTGCCTGGATTATTAGAGGTGGGAGATTTTTTTTTCTGGGGGTGCTGCTAAAGAAGAAAAGAAGCCTATGAAAGAATTTCCTTTTCTTTGCTGCTAAATACCAGCTCTAAAGGTTTACATTGATTTATAAGTTATATCTTGAGCTAAGAGCATCTCCCTACCATGGTGGTTCTCTTTCTTCCAGCTTAACATTAATAATAAACTCATTTGGATTACCAGGAAACATTTTCCTTATTTTTAGCCATATGAAAAAAAATGTTTAGTATTACATTTCAAAAGATTTTTATCATATGACATGATTTGCTCAAGTCACACAGTGAGAGCTGAGTTTAGAATCTTGATTCCTTGATTTAATCATCCCTGTGCTACATACCAGATTGTCTCTTTGTCTTTAATGATTGCACTTAATAATATTTTTTTAACCTGCATCATGAATGTTCAGTGTAAATATGCTACAGGATGTTGCCAAAAGAAAATTTGTACCAAAATAATGTCATAAAGGCAACTATCATGGGTGTGATACCAAGAGATACTTAATGGAAAACTTTAGTGTGATACTGGTAATTCTGAGGAAGACATCTGGTGCTCTTGACAAAACTTCTGTATAAGATTTATTGAAGAACATAGTCAAGAACTACTTGAGATGAGAAAACATGAGTGGGGACATATATTCTATATGAATGGAGGAAATACCCACACTGATGAGATCATGGATCTATCACAGCATTAGCATTTAAACTTACTAAAATCCAAATTCCAATCCCATTCAATCAGATTCAATAAAGTCATTGGGCACCTACTGTGTATAAGACAGTATACTAGGCAGGCATTTAGAGGAATATAAAAAGCAAGGACAGTTCTTGTACTCAATAAAATTGAAACCTGCTATGAGGGATAGTACATTAAATGGATACAAAAGTGCACAAAAATTATACGGCAAGGCAATATGTGAATTGTCCTTGAAGAAATGGTCAAAGTGCTATAAATATTCTGAGGACAGCAGGATCCTATTTGATTGAGGCATGCAGGAAGTTTTATTGATGTTAGGATCAAAAATATATAGAGAGATAGAAGGGACCTGAGTCTTTCAAGACTATCCCTCTCATTTAACAAATGAAAAAACCGAGACTCAGAGAGCTTAAGTAATTTGTCCAGGGTTATAACACTAGTGTGTGAGGGAAAATTTGAACCCAGGTCTTCCTGACTCCAAGTCCAGTGCTTTATATGTAAAATCACTCTATGTCAGAAACTAGCCTGTGCCAACTACACTGGTGCTTGAAAAATGGAGATGATTATTCTGAACAATGGCACAAAGGAGCTGATTTTTTTTAAAATCAGTACAAGCACATGAGATGGTGAAGCATTACCTGAGTATTTTCCACCTTTGTTCCTTCTCACAAAGCAAATAGTTAATAATATCAATGTAAGAAGAGCTATGGCACACATCAGTCCAATAAACCATCCTTGGGTAGAGATGTTGTCATACAAACCCGCATATGCTGTTGTAGAGAAAGAAAATTAAATGCATAATTTTAGACTTGTCAGACTGGGACAATCAGAAAACATCACTCTCCAAAATAAATAATCAAACAAATGAACAAATAAATACATAAATATATTAAAAAATACTGCTTAGTACTCCCGTCACTTTGAACTCTTGTGATTTTTACTTTTTTTTTTAAAAAAAGGATTCCAATTCTTTGATATTTTAATTGAGGGTATTATTAAATGTATATTTTATTTTCCAGAAAGTTATAACCCAGGTTATATTTGGTTCAATTAGAAAAGGAGAACAGGAGAAATAAAGTCATATACCAAAGCAGTATTACACAAGAAAGAGTGAAGAGCACATCAGTTGCATGCAGATTTTTTCAAAGGAGCCTCTTAAAACATGCATTAATTAGCCAGGCTATTATGCTTAAGTAGCAACTATATTATTGGCTAAACATGACTAGTGATTAGTTAAGGAAATATATAAATTTTTCATTTGGCTAATTTGCAGGTACTACACAAAGATGAATTAAAAACTGAGATTCTACTAATTTACCTTTTCTACAAGTTCACCAATAACTTAGGGAAGGATGCATAATTATATCATCCACAAAACACATTTCATAATCTCAGCCCACAAGACCTTTGATTTCTCACCTCTCCCCCTTGTCTCAATAACATCTTCAAAAATGCTATTGTTATCAACCCAATTCTTAGTCACTAGACGAACTGTATGCTCAGATTCAGGGTCAAATGTCTCAAGAGGGTGAACCTTTTGGGTAGGATTTACTGCTTCTGAAATCTTCCCGACACTCTTACCTATGAAAGGTAAATAGTCAAGTCATATGCATTCTTTAAAAAAAATGTAGGACTTTGAAATGGAAAAAATATTTGTTATTCATGGTCAACAAGATAGACATCTTTCAGCAATTTCCTTTTCTTGAATGTTTCCTAAATTTGAGGGAAGAAAACACCACCATAAAGAGGTATGCTGTCTTTTCTGGTGCTATTTAGAATTTTCCTGTTGATCAGTCAGTCATCTAGACTTTATTAAATGTCTCCAGTGTTCCAGGAACTATGAGCACTGGGAAAAGAAAGAAATGCCAAAGCCAGTTCCTCCTTTCAAGAAGTTCACAGCTCTAGGGAGAAGACAACTGGAAAATAGCTCTGCACAAACTGAATATATACAGGGTAAACTGCAGATAACCTTGGAGGAAAGGTGCTAAAATTAAGGAAGACTGGGAAAGGCTTCTTGTAGAAGGTGCAACTTCAGCTCATACTTGAAAGAAGCTGGGGAAGTGAGGAAGTGGACACGAGGAAGAAAAGAGTACCAAACATGGGAGCAACCAGTGAAAACATTCAGAGTTGAGAGGTGGATGAGCAAGGAGGCCTGCATTCCTGAATCAAAGAGAAGGTTGAGGAAAGGTGGTTTGTGGTATAAAAAGAATGGAAAGGTAGAATGGGGCCAGTTATGGAGTACTTTTAAAGCCTAACAAGATTTTTTTTAAACCTGATTTAATAGGGAGCTACTGGAGTTGATTATATAAACTGTTTCCTTGCACTTTTAAAATTTGCATAGAATTACAAAATAACTCCAAGATCATTAACTTCTGTTACTCAAGATTGAAAAGAAACTTTTTTTTAGTTTTTCTTACAAATAATTCAGTTTGACATTTTGGGCTTCATTTATTTGTGTATTTTTGTTTGTTTATTTGATTTTATTTTTCCTTGTTTTGTAGAAGGAATTGTATATTGAAATACTTAATAATTACTATTCAAAATCTAAATTTTTTGCACAGGATATTTATTGCTAATGGGCTAGGTATTCTGTTTATCTCCATTTTCTCCTCCACCAAAATGGGAACTGAGACAAAAAAAAACTTGTGATATACAATACTAAAATGTTTATCTTCCATATGGTTATGAAATATCATAACATACTAGGATAGAAAACAATGTAGATTTTTATGCCATTTGAAATGAAATCATTTAACTTAAATACCAAATGGACTGACAGAATCCAATTGCATTCAACAAATATTTGCTAAGCACTTATTACACCTTAGGATATGTGCTTGGCAATGGATATTTAAATAAAGAAGTAATAATTCATTTTATTTTAGATTTATCAATAAACAGGTCATACAAAGGTTAGATTAATTCCCATGACCCAAATGCTATGATGGGAAAATTTATTTTTCCCAAGTGAAATATATTTGCTTTCTGGTCACTAGCATCTAGACCAAGTACCTAATACATTCCTTGTTATTGTTCCTCTGGTTACCAGAATAAGACAATTCTCACAGCAATAAACATGCAAGCCTAAAATTTTAGCGATTATAATTTGGAAGGAAATGAAAACAAATATACACCTGGCAGCCTGCAGAATGATAAGATATCAGAAGCTATAATATAAGTCTAAAGAAAGACTTGTGAAAAAGACTTGTCTAAAGACATGTGAAAAGCCTATGACAGTTTTATAGAGGGGACTTCAATTGGGAGAGGCTGGGCTTATCTTTGATCCAAGGAGATTTAATTATTGTAATACCCAAAGGATCTTGTTAAAGAGCAAGAAAAGAGCAGTAAATGAAAGCCTCCCACCTAATAATCATAGCTGATCAATAGCCTTTAGAGTGCAAAAGGGTCCTACAACACTTCTAGTGTGAGTTTTGGGTAAATAATTAAGAGAACCTTTAAAATGTCATATGTGTATACATATTTATCTATCATCTATCCATCATCTATATGTGATTTATTCACAAAAAGATGCAAATACATGCTTGCACACATAAATGCACAGACACACACATATAGGTAGCATCTTACATCTAATTATTCAGTGTTCTGATTATACAATAAAATATTATTAATCAATGCAATTTATTTCCTTAAAGGGAGAAGTTAGAACCCAAGAATTGAATTGTGATACTATCTATCTGAAATTTAGTCTCATCTTAAGAATAAAGGGCAGATGAGCCTTAAATGTACTGTTTAGACAGAGCAAGGAGAAAGCAATAGTGTGAGATAGCTTCTAGCTTGTACACAAAGTGTCCTTTTTAAAATATGTATTGGCATTATATTATTCCTCAGTGGAAATCATTTTTTTCTTATTATTGTTATTTTTTATTTATACTTTTTAAAAATCTATATGGAATTCCTTTGGGGAAATGTATTTTTATTTATTTCCTGGGAAATATGATTGTGTTGCAAACCAAAATACATGTAGAAGAAAAATCACTGTTAATGGTAAAAGGGACTGGTAGATGAATTAGAGTATGTGTGGAATCCTGGAGAGGCAAAAAGTCAAGAAATATTTCCTCCTAAAGTAAACTGAAACACAAGGTTATTGAAGAAATTAGCATTAGAAAATGGAAGGTGGTTATCTATCAGAGGCTTAAATTGCAAGAAAGAAATAGCATTAGTTAAATATCTGATTACTCTCCTGGACCAATTTAAGAGCATTATTATAAGACACAACATCCACAGCATCAACAAACCATTCTTGATTTTAGTTAGTGCTTTAAATAAGCAGTTATTCTAGAAAACCCTTTTATGAAGATGAACTTCAGTGTGTAAAAAGCAGGGAAGCACTTTCCTCAGACAGAGAATTGTTGGTTCAGTCAGAGTAAAGTAGTGGGTGTGTTCATCTCTTTTCCATTCACCAAGATCTTACCCAGAACTTGCAGTGAGTCCCTTGAGAGAGCCTCATTAGCAAGCCTGGCATTCTGTGTGCCTACTTACATCTCTGAACCCATTTTCAGTCAACTACAGGAAAGTTGCTCAGAAATGGAAGTCATAGCTAGTAGACATTTTTCAGGTATTTTCAAAATGCAATTGTTATTATAAACACTCAGATCAATCTGGTAGTTCATTAGGAATTACTCTTACTGCCTGATAGTCAATTTATCCCAGACATTGTATACATTTTTTTGATTTCATGTTTTTCCCTCACACATATTTGAAGGAAAGCAGGGAGGTCAAGACCTTAAAGAAGAATATATCTTGTATTTATAATCATACAATATTCAGCACTGTCTGTATTGGCATGTATTTAAACACTCACATTTGTGACTATTTTAATAATGAAACCTTTCCCTTAAATTTATTTCTCCATTTTCTACCCTCTTCCCCAATTATGAAACTTTAAAACAGGTAAGAATCTGAGTATAAACTCCTCATTTTACACGTGATGAAACTGAGCCCCAGTGAAGTTAAATAACTTGCCAAACATGCGTGTATGCATGTACATATGCAGGCATGCATGTGTATATGCATGTATATATTATTCATAATATATTATTCATAATACAGCCATGATGGGAAACCAAGTGCTGTGATTCCCAGGTCAGGGTTCTTCTATGTTCCTTACAGTACCTGGTTCATCTTGCTTCCATTCAGATAATTACTTATAGAGATCCCACCACGTACATTATTTTCTTGTTTCCATTCTATCTTTCTATACTTGAATTGAACTATAACCACATATTTACCTGTTTCATCTAGTTTCTCTAAAATTTCTTGATTCTTCTGACTTCTCCATTCTCTTCCTACTTATCCCTACTCTACCTATGCTGCTTAAGGTCAATGAGAGAGAGCTAAGCAAGAATTCCAATAAAATAGCACTTGTGGAAAATCATGGGCATAGAGGTAAATTTGAGGGAGGAAACTGGGGCACAAGCAGTGTGAGTAAAATGCAAGAGTGATTTACTTCATGGCACTCTTAAAACAATCTTATCAACTTAGGGACAGTTAAGACCACTTGACATTTGTTACAGACCAGCACACAGGCAAACACAATATGCTTACACATAAATGGGAGTGTGTAAATTAGAGATATTGAGTTGGTTTTACACTGAATTAGGAAAAGCTTTAAAAGAATATTCATTTTAATAGTTTTAGGCTCTCTCCCTGTGTCTCTGTCTCTCTGTGTCTCTCCCCCCACTTCCCTTTCTCTTCTCCTTTCTCCTCTCTCTCTTGCTTTCTCCCTATTTCTTTGCTCCCTTTCTGGTTTTTTGTTTAGAAAAGACACAACTCTTTAACTTGAAAGTATGGGGCTGCCTGACCAAAGGGCTAGTGTGATTAATGTTGCAGACACTATTTAGAGTGGCTATGGTCACTTCAATTTGAACTGAAATCCTTTTCTTAAAGTAATGATGCTGTCTTTTTTTTTAACCAAATCTCCACATTCTCCTACCATAAACATTTCTGTTACATCATGAATTTCCATATACTTTTTTTTAATGAGACACCCTTATTAACACTATTAACTTACTCCCTTCTCCTATTGTGCAGCCTTCCTCTGTTATGGGTTTTCCACAGCCTTTGGAAGTACATGCCCTCAAGTAGAATTTATATTTGGTGGTGGAGTTAAGATCTGGAACACGCCAACTGAGTTTTGAAGGGTTTGTGATGTTGATTTCCTTTAGTTCTCCAATCTCATCTGTGTCATTGACTTAAAAAAAAAGAAAAGAAATGAAATATATATAAGGATTTTTAATTTCCATAAAATTTAATAAAACATGAGAGTTACAGCTTTGGGGCACACATGGAAAGATTTTCTAAATTAAAATTTTCCCTATTCAATTACAGACAGCTGCTTGTAGAGTTGTTCTTTCCTTTTATTATCATTATGAATTTCTAAAAAGAAAATATTATTGATTTTCTCAAAAAAAATTCCTTTATTAACCAAGGGTCAAAATGGATTTTTGCAGTATAAAACCTACATTATTTTAGATTTCCATTTTTGGATCATACCATGTGAAAATTACAGTTTAACATTTTTTTAGCCAGCTATATCAGTACTATAAATTTATTTTTATGAAAACACATTTAACATATAAAATAAAAGAAAAGTAAAATTAAATACTACTATTATTTATTTTAGACAAAAAATGGAGGATATGGCAAAATGATACAATGAAAAGATTATGGGCTTTGAAGTCAGTAATTGGAGGTTAAAACACTGCCTCTGAGACTACCTGTATGTTCTTAAAGACAGCACTTACCCTCCCTTGACTTTAGTTCCCTCCTTTCTAAAATAAAAAGATGGGATAATATGGCTTTGAAGTAACATCCCATTACACATAACATATTACGTGCAATATGCATTATATATAACATGCACATATATTATACACACACGTGTATAGACATATATTCCTAATTTCTCTAGAAAACATAATTGAAAAATCAATCAATTTCTTAAAGACTTCCCATAGGTTTGATTAACAGAATAAATGTACAAATCAAAATTAAAATAATAAAAAAATTAATGAATAGTAATTGACCTAATGACTAATCAAGATAGTCTCATAATTCCAACGAATGTAACTGTAGTGTATTTGAAGTAATAAGGAATTGGCATTTTTAAGCTATGCCCTTTGAGTTCCAATAATGTGCTAGTCCACTCATTTTTCTTTTTAGACACACACATGTTCATTTACTTCTGATGCAATGTTTGGTGTGCTTGTGTCATATCAAGACATTTGTCTTTTTAGTAGATAATAAATAGATTCCATGTGATTAAATGTCATTGAAGCAAAGAGCAAAAGTATCAATGCACTGGGGAAAACTTTAATCTTTAAAGCACCATTATTCATGATATAGGTTATAGGGATGTTTAGTTACTCCCACTTGACCTGCAAACTGTAGGCTGTCTTTGTGCTTGCTATCCTCTGTGCCTCAAATGCACTCCTTTCTCTTCTTAATATTTTAGAATCCCTCCAAAATATAGTCAAGCACTCTCAGCTGCTTAATGCCATTCTTCATTCCCCCAAATGATAGTCCCCCTTCCCCTCATCAAGGTTACCTTAGACCTACTGTTTATGTATTTTTATATGTATGTACATGTGTATATATGCATGCATCTTAATGTATGCATGTATAGTTCCTTTTACTAGGATGTAAACTCCTCAAAGACATGGTCTATTTCATGTTTGATTTTGTATTCCAAGTGCCTGATGCAATTCTTGATTGATTGAATTTTCCATATTATTTCAGGAAAGTAATCCATCCATTTTTTTCCTGTTTCTGGCATATAGTTGGTGCTTAATAATTGTTAATTGAATTAATTTTCCATTGAAAGTGCTCCTTCAATAGAAATATTATATAAGGTTTCATTTCTTGGAAGTTTTAACTCTCTCTCTCTCTCTCTCTCTCTCTCTCTCTCTCTCTCTCTCTCTCTCTCTTTCTCTCTCTCTCTCTCTCCCCTTCCCTCTTTCGCTTCCCTCCCTTTCTCTTATTTCCTTCTCTCCTTTACAATGTATCCTATATCCTATTGGTATTTAAGCAATGCAATTTACTACTAATGCTGTTAATAGTTGAAGGAGATAAAGATCTTGGACAAATAAAAAAAAACTCCTGATATTTCCTTAATATGAAAAATGAGTTAATTATTGCCAGCAATGTCTGCAATGCCTATGCTCACATTACAGTGGAGAAACATTTGGAGAAAAAAACTGGCTAATTAATTTGTTTAGACACAGAACTTGCTGTGTTTTCAACTCTTTTTCTCTACACCTTGTAAGTGTGGAGATGTTTTGACCAGTGTGATCACACCCAGGTCAATGATGTTTTCAGAAGAAATCTGCAAATAAGTATCCTTTCCTTATTTCTTCATCTAAAAAGAGCCATTTTCTGCAAGTAAGGAAAGCAAAAATTGTAGCCAGGGCTTTAATTTTGCTTCTTATTTCATCCAGTTTTTCTATAAAGCAATTTTCTTTAATATGAAAGCTTTCTTTCTCCTTTTTCTTCAATACATAATCAATCCCTTTTAAAAATCCAGTGGAATATTTGTTGCTAAAATCATCATGTATAGGTTTAAAATGTCTTTTTAGCCTTATTTTCCCATGACTACAACTGTGAGTGAATATATCACCAATATATATTGTAATATTTCTTAGTAAATGAAAGGAAATATTTTCCCCAATACTCACTAAAAGATTATAATTTAACTACTTCTTATTTTCTTTTAAAATCCATTAATATCAGCTCAGGCATTCAATAATCCTAAACTAAAAATCTATATACACATGCATGTGTTTATACATGCATATGCATATACACATATATGACTAGACCTGTGATTTCACTGACATAAGGAACTTGCAGTGAAGAAATTTCCTATACCAATGTAACTTTTCTGCAATTTAGAGTCTTATAGATGAGACAATTGCTTGAGAAATTGAGTTTAAATGATGTGACCATGAAGCCAGTGAATATGAGAGGTGAGACTAGAACCCAGATCTGCCAGAGCCTAAAGAGTGCTCTTATTCACTATACCATCCATGCTGCCTCATATAGTATATAACCATACATGCATTCATGTATATGTACCTAGATGTATGTTCATACATATTCATGTATATTGCATGAAGTCATAGATAGAAAGTTACAGTAACAAAGATATCACCAAAGCCATGCTCCATCTAATATAGACAGACAGACAGACAGATAGATAGATAGATAGATAGATAGATAGATAGATAGATAGACCCAAGATGGAAGATTGGGCTTGAGTAGTAATCAGCAAAGCATAGTCAAAAGATGAAGCAGTAACAATCTCTTGCAAAACATCTTTCTCTTCTTCCAACTATTTCCTTCTTGTTTGTGTATTTTCCCCTTTTTACTCATTTAGTTATTCAAACAGTTGCTTGCTTGTTTATTTTCTGCAGCTTTATAGGTCATTCAAAAGGTTGTTAAAGGTCAAAATACATGTCACATGCCCAATATCAAAAAGACAGTAAGTGTCAGCATTAGGATTTGATAGATAGATAGATATAAACAGATAAATGGAGAGAAAGAGAGAGATTGAATGTAAATTAGAAAGGTTTTGATATAGTTTTTTCTCACTTGTTATCCAGACCTCTTTCTACTACACACAATTTATCTCTTTCCTAATAAGGATAAAACAAATATTCTATGTAAACAAGTTTTAGAGTAATAGGAAAAGAAAATATGAAGAAAAAAATATTAATTGAGGAAGTTGAAATGTATTCTATCATGGCATAAGTTTATGTAGGCATTTGTGTTCAAGTTAACCTCCAAATAACATCACTTCACACCAAATGGTTGAGTTGCTTACACATTGAAGTTCAGCCGAAATTTATGGTAGTCAAATCAATCAGTGATAACCTAAAATGAGAACTGTCTGTTGTTGTTCAGTCATTCAGTCATACCCAACTCTTCATGATTTCAAGGATCACAGCATGCTGGGGTCTTCTCTGCTCCACTATCTCTCAAAGCCTCTCCAAGTTGATGTTCATTTTCCCCCCATGAGATTATCTATCCATCTCATCTTCTGCTGTCCTTTTTTTTCTTCTTTCTACAATCTTTCCCAACATCAAGGTCTTTTCCAATGAGTACCATCTTCTCATCATATAGCCAAAGTATTGCCTAGGTTCTCATTTTAAAATGCCATCTACTCAAATATATAATTAATTAATCTAAGAGAGATTGCTTACAAACATCAAACTTCTACTTACTTATCTGATATTGTAAACTGTAGCCAGTTAAATTGCCATGTGCTTTCTTGGGCAATCCCCAGGATAATACAACGGTGTCCTTGTCAGCATGTATAACCTTGAGGAAAGTAGGCTGTTCAGGTACTGAAATAAATGAGGTAAACTTAGAATTTATGAGAAAACTCAAACTATGAAAATAAAATGAATTCCTTTATATTTTCCCATCCTTCCAATGGGAAGGGCCTGACACAAGCAAATTTTGGTTTTCTATCTCACACCGCCATAATTCAGCTTCCCTCTGACTATTCATCTTTGGGTCTCTTCTCTCATTTGTGAGTTCTTCCAAGAACCTCCATTTTGGGCAAGACGAAAGAATAGTCATCCTTAATTCTCCAGACCAAGTCAATGGGTACACTTTCCCCATTAGAAAATTAGCACCTTGAGCATATGGACTATCTTTCTTTTGGCTTTGATGTCTATCTCTAACACAGCAAAACAAATGGATAATAGTCAGCTCCTAAAAATGCTTATTGACTGATTTAGAATGAACTTTAAGATCGATAATATAGAATACTTACTTACAGGTAATATGCACTAGGATTTTATTTCTTCTGCCATTAGAATTGCAATGTTTAATTTCATTAGCACTTAACTTATTGGTTTTGTGCTAATATCAGCTTTGAAAACTTATGAAGACTGACAAAGAAATGTCTTGGTTACCAATGGCACAGAAATAGGTAAGAAAAACACAAGTACATTCAGCAGAAGTCAGATCCACCACACAATCTAATAGGATGCAGCCAGCAGTTGTATTGTAACTGAGAGCATGAGGGCACAGAGAAAATGTGGGTCACCATTCAACCATTGTAGTTGGGGTGCTTTCTCACTATCTTTTTCCCATATTAGAAGCTATTAAATTTGACTCTGGAAGTAGCATCTACAATAACCACTCTGATTGCAATGATGGCAGTCTTTCTAATTTCACCAGCAGAACATTGGTACAGAGCCATGTGAATTGGAGATTTCCCCTTTTATACAAACTGAGATCTTTACACCCATATGCCCTGTTACACAAATGTGTGTGTGTCCATTTAAGACACACCTTTTGAGACAGTCAGAGAGAGATAAGAATTAGCCTGGTACTTTGATTAATACAGAGACTCCCACATGAGAAAACTCCCTTTACTTATGAAAATTGGCCCTTTTATGCAAATTAAAGCCTTAGAGGTTATTAAGTAGTTAAAACTAGCCCATGATCAAGCAGCCAGTATCACAGGACAGCCTTGAACGTAGAATTTCCTAGCTTCAAGGCCAGGCCTCTATCTACTATGTCACGAGTATAAATATACTACAAAATTAAAGAGACATGCAACTGGCCTGAATTATCAAACCACTAATGTTTATGAACACTAATGAAAAATTGTGTTAGATTACATCTTATCTAGGACTACAGTTTCAAAGAGGAAATAAAGGAAGAAGATCTCTCACATATTTTATTGTTCTTTTACCTCCTTCTGGAGTTTGAAAAGAAATTGGAGCGCTTTCTGGTCCAGCACCTTTGGAATTGTAGGCTAAGACTGTTAACTTGAATTCACTAAATGGGTCTAGTGAAGGAACCATTCCATAGCTTCTGTCTCCTGGCAGTCTTAGAGTTTTAATTTCTTTGGGGAATTTCCTGTCATCCAATCTGCTTTTTGTTTTCCACCAATTGATCTGAAATAAAAAATGATAATCCATTGACATATTTTCGCACGTATATAATTTCTGTAACCTATTGAATCAGCCTTATTTTGAAACCAAGAATATTCTCATGCAACTATTAGGAAATAAAACCTGATATCCTCTCAAATGTCCATGTACTCTCTCTTTTGGAATTCTGTCCCAGGTGACGTTAATTAGGGTACTGTTTATAACTCTTGCTGATACCAACAAAGGAGCTGCATCAGGATCTGTAAAGACACACACATACAAAAAATAAAGAATTCCGTGTGAGCATGTTGTTATTAAATTGGAATCAATAAGATTATTCTCAAAAAACTATTTCTATAATATATTTAAACCAGGGAGTGAGTTCATGAACATTTTTTTAAATAAAAAATACTTCAAAACCCAAACAATATTCATCAATATTCAAAAGTTTACAATAATGTTATTAATAAGTCTAAGTTTATATAATGATATCATAATATGGTAGCACTATTGGTGCCCTGAGGTCTAATGGATTGTCTCTTTGATCATTTCTAAGGTCACTATACCTTCCTTTGAAAAATGTTTATTAAACAGAGGCAGCTTGGTAGCTCAGAGACTAAGAGCACTGAAACTACAGTTTGGAATACCTGAGTTCAAATTCTGCCTCAGATACTAGCTCTGTGATCTTGGGCAAGTCACAATCTCTTTTAATCTTGGCTTTCTTATCTATAAAATGGAGATAATAATAGCACCTACTATACTGTGTTGTTTTGACGATCAAATGAACATTTTGCCAACCTTAAAGAGTTATATAAGGCTAGTTACAATAATTATTATTAATATTATTATGATTAATAATATTATAGACCTATTCTAAACCATAAATTTTTCTAGGCACTTGCAAAGGTAAAAACATAAAGACAACATAGTCTTTGCCTCCAGTTTGTCATTTAAGAAATCCCTCAAAGGCTTTATAACTTCAACATATATCATATAGTCACTCTCCACCCAGCCCTCTGCCTTTCCCTCCTGCCCCTTTGATCAAATTACATGAAAACTAAACATTGTCAATATATTCACTACTGTTTTTGCACTTGGAAAAAGAAGAGCAGAATCAATTATGGCATGGACTTTTGGCCATGGATGGCAGAGTGACTGAATAGTAGGAACATGGGGTACATTCAAACAATTGATTTGGAGAGTCCTACAGAAGTCCTACAACATACAACACAAAAGCTATGTTGCATAAAAACAAGTTACACATAATTACAACATATTGCATAAATGACAGCATCCAATATTTTATTTTATTTTTATTTCCCTTTATCATAGAGGTCATATGGCATGGTAGATAGCCATCCTCAGAATCTCAAAGATTGAAGTTGAAGTCTCACCTATGATATATGTTGTCCATGTGACCCTGTCTCTTTCACTTTCCATCCCAGTATATTCAAATTAGATTATAAATATGCATACATATTTACAGGTGCATATAAATATGTGTATAATTAAGATTGCAAATTATAGAGCAGGTGTTGATCTGCATTAGAAAATTTCCAAAATGGGAATTCCTTCAACTGGCACAAAGTATTGTTAGTACATAGATATCTGATTCCTCAGCATTACATAGCCAATTGCATTGAATCAGGAAGAAGGTACAAAAAGAGTATTGTGTGGAAAATTTATTTTAATTGAATAATAGTATTATCCGGGGGTATAAGATCATCAATATACCTTACCACATTTTATGGACATTCAGCTGCATAATTTTAAGTTATGGGGCTGAAAAAATTGTTCTAAAAATCACGAAGATAATTTTAAGAAGGAATGGAAAAAATTAGTATTCTCTTTTTTTTTTTGTAACACGGAATGCCAGGGTCCATGTTTAACAAAATAAAATGACAAAAATGGCATGGCAAGCACTCGTAAATACTTGTTATTAAATATGCTTAAGTGAAAATGAAATTTATAAGGTTTTTTTGAAACATTTAGAATTAATTTTTTTCATAATCAATTTCTATTTAATAAAAGCATAGATAAAGAGATAGAAGGAACCTTAGAAATCATCTAGATCAAGAATGGGGAACTTGTGGCCCTCGAGGCCACATGTGGCTCTCTAGGCCCTCAAGTACATCTGTTTAACTGAATTCAAACTGCATAGAACAAATCTCCTTAATAAAATGATTTTATTAAGATGTTTCACTCAGATCTAGACCAACCTCTACATTTTATCATTGAAACTGAGACCAAAAGAAATTGTGTCCTAACCAAAATAATTTTTGATTCAGCAAAATCACTTCAGCATTAAAATAAGTTTCAAAAGTCACTAAATTCAATCCATTTCTGAATGATAATTCTCTTATAACATGCATCACAGTGGCATGTAAAACATTATAACTGGGCTATTGCCATCACACAATCCTGAAGTCCATTTTTAAACCCCTATATAAAACTTTACATTTATGCCTAGCCAGTTCAACCTCATTTGATTTCAATCACAGTCCTCAGAGTCCTAGTTTGTCAAGATCTTTTTATTTTTTTTTATTCTTTTGTCTTTCTTAGCTATTTGTCACTTGAAATTTTGATTTCACTGGTAGAAGGAACTCCCAGGAAGGGAATTCTTTCAATCAGTGAAGGTCAGTAACTATTCTGAAATAATAGCCTTGTTGATGTTTCTAGGGAACTGAGAGTTTAAATAGCTTTAATAGGGTCACACAGCCAGTGTGTGAAAGGCAGGTTAAAGATATCTCACATTTACCCACTCAGGAAATTTGGGAGTCAGAGAAAAACACAGAGAGGGGAAATAAATGTTCATAAACATTGCATAAGTCCATTGTCTCCATCTTACTCCAACAATCTTACATTTAGGAAGGTCAATGGAGCTATAGGATGATAAGGCAATGTGCTGCCACCAAAAGTGTACCAAAATTGGAGTTAGAAGAGGCAGTTCAAATCTTGGATCTACAACATATATGGCTTTAAAAATCAATCAATATAGGCCTCTGATTTCATTAGTGGAAAGGGTTCCCCAGTGAGCAAACTCTCTCATTCCTATGCAAATCAGCACCTATTCTATAACATGGGGTTTTATGGAGTAGTTTGGGACAAAGAAGATAAAATAAATTGCCCAGGATCACAGCTAGAATGTGTCAGAGGTTAAGTCTTGAACCCAGGTACACATGATTTGGAGGGCAGTTCTTCCTTATCATTTTGAATACATCAAATTATTTAAAATCAGTCAGCAATGTCTACAGGATGAAATCCTTTTAAAAAATGAAAACTAACCAACCTGAAGGGCCACCAAAATTTTAGGCTGCATTAGATAGACATTAAATACATGCAACAGGGCAGAGGAGAAGGGAAGCTTTATGTGTGTCTTATGGAACAACAAGGCATCTAAAATTAAAATGTGAAGACTAGAATCATTCTATCCATTTGATCGAATCTTTTAAAGACAAAGATGCACATATAGAGTGTGCTAAGCTTACCTCACATCAAAAATAGCAAGATTGCTATTTTATTTTCCCCTATAATTTTAGATATTAGCTTACATGGACACTAGAAGCCAAACTTCACAGAACAAATCCCCTTAATAAAAGGATTTGTTCTATAAAACCTGGACTCAGTCAAAAGACAGTGCCCAAGGATCTAGAAGGCCATATGTGTCCTCAAGGCTACAGGTTTCCCACCTCTGGTCTAGAATTTGCTTTCTTTGTTTCAAGTGCCATCTAACAAAGTATTTTTCAAAAGGTTACTGACAGTCTAATGTACTCAAGATTAAAAACTTCATAAACTTTCAAATTGACATTTTTGAACAGTTGAAAAATCTAATTTCCAAAATTGTGTTTATTCAGATGATTTTTTTTCTACTGAGAACATATATGTGTGTGTGTGTGTGTGTGTGTGTGTGTGTGTATTTACCTTCAAGGACAGATAATTTCATGTATTGAATCATTAAAATGTGTTTTAACTTTGATCATGGATGCCTAAACCTGAAATTACCTATGACTGCTATTATGGTAAGATAAGTTCATCTAGCATTTGTCCAAATCAGTGATAGTACAGATGAGGAAAAAGAGGTCCAGAAGAGATAATCAAATGGTCTAAGATCATCAAAGTACTTAATACAGGCAGAATGTGAATTGGAACTGGAGTTCAAATGTTGCATTTTATACCAGGAATTTTGAGGGATACGTATTAAAAAAAATCTTATCCAAACTGGAATGTTAAAAATACCAACTATTTTAAATAAAGCTAGAATTAAAAGCAAACATTGTATCTAAAGGATAAAGAATGGTTTTCTTTCACTTCATCTTTGATTTGCCACAAAGACTGTGATACATAGATATCTGTCTTTTCCTAAATGTGGGCCTAACATATTCTGTGTAAATTTTTGCATTCAGCAGGTACGATCATGTCTTAATCTTTTTTTTTTTTAATTTTGTGCCCTCTCCAACTACATTTTAAATACTTTGGAAGATGAACTATCTACTCCTTCCCTCTTTTCAGTTTCTTATCATGTGTTTCTTCCACTATTATAATTTCTTTGAGGGCAGGGACTGTATATTATCTGCTTGTATTTGCACTGCCAGTATTTAACATATAGTGAGTATTTAATACATGTTTGTTGATTGACTGTCTGACTTTTGTACCCTGGCTACAGTGACCAACACAGTGCCTGAGACAAAGTAGGCATTTAGTAAATGATTATTTATTAATGACAATTTTAAAATAGAGTTGAAATATTTCAAATAGTTATAAGTTTCAAATTAATTTTAAAAAGCGGTCACTTACAGTCTTCTCCAGAATATACAGTTATGGTCTGCGGCTCAGGCCCAGAGCCAAGTTGATTAATTGCTTGAACTTTGACATCATAAGGAGTAAAGACAGAAGAGGTCATTACTCGTAAGGTATTATCTGTGGCCAACTCATCAGACCATTCTGAAGGAACTCCTTGTTGTCTCCATGTAACTCTGTACTCTAATCCTGGTCCATTTTGTTCCATGGATTTCAGTGGCTATGAAAAGAAAAAAGAAACACAGTCATGTTTGATGATACAATCACAAAATTGTATCTTAAGAGTTAAGTGGTGTGGTAAAGAGGATGAAAAGCCAGTCTCAGTAACTCCAACTTCTGATGCCTTTGAGACATATGGACTACATGTTCTTGGAAAAGTCACTTAATCCCTCCAAGTGTGGAGGGGGGGGGTTGAAATTGGTTTCCTAAACCAATTCAAATACATTTCAGAAAATAAACAGTTAACATGTTATTAATGGAAATTCAATTGGGACCACTACAAACAAGGTATGTTGGTTGAGTTAAAGTTCTGTCTTCCACCTATTTCTCTTTCTTTGTTATCTAACTTGGTAATCTCATCAACTCTGATGGGCTCGATTAACATCTCTTTGTAAATGAGTCCCAGATCTTTACATCCAGTCCCAGTCCCTCTCCAAAAATCTAGTCTTACATCACCAACTATTTATTAGAAATTTTGACATAGAGGCATGGCAAACTCATTATCTGTCCAAAACAAAATTCATTATCTTTTCACCCAAATCCACTGTTCTTCTCTATGTCCCTATATCTGTCAAGGTCACTGCCCTTACCCAATGACCCATGCCTATAACTTCCCTGTTATACTCCTCTCTACTTATCTAATCTGCTGACAAGTCATGTCCTTTCTGTTTTGATCATATTTCTCATATGTGCCCCCTTCTTTCTACTCACACAACTCTATTTTAGGCCCTTATCACCTCTCTGCTGGAATGTTGCAACAGCTTTCTCATTGATCTCTTTGCTTTAAGTCTCTTCCCACTCCAATTCATACTACATACAACTCCCAGGGATTTTCCTCAACTGTAGATCTAACTATATTACCTCCTGGTTCAATTAAATAAACTCCAGTGACTCCCTATTACTTCTATATCCAAATACAAATTCTTCTTTTCATAATCTGGCCACTTCTTATCTTATATCCTGTTTATACGTTGCCATCCTCAATACAATCTATTGTTGGACCACACTGACAACTTATTTTTTTTTTAAATATATGACATGATCTCCCTTCCGTATGTCCTTGCATTGGTGGGCCCCCATGGCTGGAATGCACTGTCTCTTCATCTCAGCCTTTCAGTATCCATGGATTTCTTGTAGACTAACCTCCTGTTACTTTTGACAGGAGAGCCTTCCTAGTTCCTCTGATTGCTAGTTATTTTCAGAAGGGAAAGAAACATGTAATAATTATAATTTTGTATCCTCATTAGAATACAATTCCCCTGAGTGAGGAGTTCCTTTTTTTTCTTTGTTTTGTTAGTGCTTAGCAAAATGCTAGATTCATAGTAAGTCAGCAAAAGAGTTGCTGTTGACTGATTGACTCAAACAGTTCCTGAAGACTAGTTAATGTAAAGCCATTTGCTTTGTAAGTTTGAACTTCAAAAACCCCATCCTTCAGAGGCTCTCCTCCATTCTTTTATGTACTTTGCCTGCAATTTGGGTGAGCTACCACCAAGTAATTTGCAGTACTTGGTTTATGACATCATGTTGTCTTCTAACAGATTAACCTCCCACAGATAGGGTTAACTCAACCAAAAATGATAAAAATATACCTCTCCATTTAAATATGATTTTCTATAAAATTAGAGTTCTTAACTAAAACAAAAAAATGCTCAATATTAATAAAAACTGTATTTCCTATATGGGAAATATAATGAACAAATAGACTGAGAGGTAAAGAAATATGAACACCAAAACACAATTTAAGTACCTCTCAGACTAATTTTTACCACTTGTTAATTTTAAAACTCTCCCTTTCTTCCCTATAGCTTGAGACTTCTAATTCTTTCTCTAACTTACAGAGCTTCAGAACCAACACACAGTTCCCTGTGCTAGGACTTAAAATCCCCTGAAGCCGTTCTTATACATAAAAATGTAATTTCAACCATCTTTATTTATCTAATGAAATAATTCCCTAGAGGATTTTTAGCTACTTTTGCTTCCAAAGTCTATCTACCTCATCCTTCTACATGGTTTAGTAGGAAGAAAAAAAAAATACATCCCAGTATCAATTTTTTGCAAGTTTTAAGTCAGAAGAGTTTTTGTTAACCTATTTTCCTCTGCTGCCCTTCTTTGAAGCCAGAAGTTGTGTAAATCCTAATTTGCATTATTATGATTTAACTTTCTACATTATGTGCCCCAAATGCAGTCACATCCTTAGTAATGATTCAGGCAGGTCTCCAGCTCACTGACTTGCTTTTCTCTCACTCTCTCTCTCTCTCTCTCTCTCTCTCTCTCTCTCTCTCTCTCTCTCTCGTGTGTGTGTGTGTGTGTGTGTGTGTGTGTGTGTGTGTGTGTTCCAAGGGAACAATTTTTTTTAATGTAATATGTGCTTGATACCACATCCTGGGAGAACATGATTCAGCTTTAAAACAGAGATATAATGTGTTTTCAAAGAGCAAGGATAAATTGAAAAGAAAAAATTCTCATTTAGTTTTCTGCTGATCATTTATATGTCTTCATATTATAGACAGCATCTCCCAAGGATTCCAAAGGAAAATATGAAAGCAACAGATGTGTTAGCAGAGGTCGCTAGTATGTTGTTCTTCAATAATATATAGTGAAATATGTGATTTACAGTAAAGTTCATGAATTGTATTTATAATAATGGTCTTGCAAAGCTGATGATTAGATCTATATTATGTTCTAGAATATATATGATTCTGAATTGTTTAGGAAAGTGAACTCCCCTCATTCCATCAAGTTTTTGTATTCCACCCTCCAAAAAATTACTTAGAATTTTTACTTATATTTTTTAAATTGTAGCTGAGAGTAAATGTGTCCAGAAATCCCTTGAGATGGCTAATATAGGCCAATTCTGTTTCTGCTTCAGTAAGATTGCATATTTACCTTCGAAGTTATCTAATCTAGAGGGTCAAACAGGAAGCTCAAGGTCCATGTATCCCAAATGCAGTCTTAGACAAATTAAAATGCAATTGGGTAATGCTTGATGAAATGAATAAATACATAATACAACATAGATTATGTTAATTTGCAGTTTTCTAAATAATATATGACTGGCTGGCATCCATTCATACTTGAGTCTAACACTACTGACCTAGGGCAATTCAACCCGCCCATTTTACTGTTGAAGAAATTGAGACCAAGAGAGGTCAGGTGACTTGTCCCAAGTCCCATAGAGAATAAGTGTTAGACCCAGGCATTGAATCTGGTATTCTCTGAGTCCAAATGCAGCACTGTTTTCCATTTATCACACTCTGCCCCCAAGAGCAAATGAGAAGGCCAAATGAGTTAATGTACATAAAGCATTTTGCAAAACTTTAAAAATATGAAATGTGAGAAGTCATTATTATTAACATTTAATTTACTCCCTATGGAGTATAAGGCCCTTAAAAGCAGGGGCTATCATACACAAAAACACACACATATATATGTATGATTGTGAGTGTATATTGTCTTTGTATATGGCATGCCATGTACAAAGACTTAATAAACTTGAATTGAATTGAACTGACCTGAACTGATTTAAACTAAACAGGGGAAGTGCTGCCTGGAGTCAGAGTTCCTCAGTTTGAGTCTCACCTTTGACACCTCACCTGTGTGACCTCAAGCATAGACAGCCTCAATTTCCTCTTTTATAAAATGAAAGGATTGGACAGGAGAGCCTCTGTGTTGGTTTTTTTTTTTTAGCTTTAGACCTATGATACTATTGTAATGGGAGTTGGCTGCCTCAAACTGTCATCATTTTATGATCCTATTAATTAAGCAACTAAAGTGTTTTAAGGACACTGGCTATGTTTCAATAGGAGTCAAAACTATGACCTCAACTAAATTTTAAAGAAATAAATTCAAGCCTGTGGTTACAACTGAGTGAAAAATTTTACTCATTGATAAAACAAAGCTGATGTTTGCCCCTGGCAATGTCTCTATTTGTATTCAGTGGGAATTTTTGCCTCAGGAAATCTCTGAGTATAAGAATGACATAAATTCAGCAGGGATTCAGGAATGCCCAGATATATGCAGAAAGTAAAAAAAAATTTATACAAACTGAAGACCATTATTTTAAATATCTTTATCTTAGAACAAATAAATTAAATTGTGTCATTTGTCATTTTTCCTCACATGATGATGCTCATGTTTAGCAATATATGTTTTAGAATATATATGTACATATGTGTATGTATGTATATATATGTACACACATAAATTTCTAATATCTATATCTAAGTTCTGTATCTATCAATCTAACCAGACATAGATTTATGAACTTAATTGTTACATTATAGGCTAACTGAGCCCTTTCTTTCCAGGGGATATAATAAGGTTTCTTATTTGGCATTCAAAGGATTTCCAGTATGGCTGTATAAATCACATTTCTTCAGTAAGTTTCTAGCCCAAATATCCAAGTTGAAAAAAAAAAAAACAGGAGAAGGGCCAGACTCTGGCCAGATAACTCTCCCCCAACATCAGGAACATAAAAGACCATGTAGGTGGCAATGATACAGCTCCCTTTGCAAATCAGACAAATTTTAATTAAATTCGCAGTACAGATAGTGAAATTGAGGCCCTTAGGGCACAGTTATTTGACCAATGTCTTGCACTAAATGAATTGTAGAACTCAATATTTCTTGACATTTTGAGTCTTGTAGGCACTTTAAAGCAAAATCACCAGAATTCTGAAACTATTTCAGTGATAAAGTTCCAAAGGGTAATGAATATGTTCCTGATAAATCCCAATTATTTAGCAAGCAAGAAGTCTAATTAAATTATATAATTGTCTGAGTTTTCAAAATTTTTTTTTATTCATTTGTTTTTGTATTGGAGCAATGGCTATTACCTTTAGGATCCTTGAAAATGAATGGTAAGTCACAATTCTATTGCATTTGAATAATTATCATTTAAATGACAACTGTGGGTAAAAAAAAGTTGTCAAATGATATTTTTTTTGTTCATTTGTTTATGTATTGGATCAATGGCTATGACTTTTAAGACCCTTGGAAATGA